AATCAAATATGCACTTTTATTCATTTACAATAAACTCATAAAGTACATCATTCTGATTGAAGCTAAGGGCATACAAAACTATCTAACAACACCTGCCCTGACAAAAGCAGGTGAGCCTGATCTGACAGAGTTCTGTTATAAGTAGCCCCAATTCCAAAGGGCAGAGGTAATATTCTGATACTCGCGCTATCTGCACTCTTAGTCTCTTTTACCCTCTTTGCATCTTTCACAGATCTCTAACTTAAGCGTCAGAGTGTTCTCGCCGGGCAAGCCCCCCGAGGATTCCTGTTCTTCTCCATCTTAGATACCATCCAAGAGCCACGAAACTGCCAGGTAGGAGTGACCAAATCGCGCACCATCACCTTATATTGAAAATACCTCCATATTTATGTGCTTTATTTTATGGAGAGATATTCCGAATGTAAGATTGCGAAAGGCCGTTAAAATGGTGTACACACAAATTTACCTTGATACAAGCCGATCCCAGGGGTTTTCCTTGGCTTCAATCTGATCGAAGTGAGATCCTCTGTTCCAATGGATGGACGATTGGGTGGATTGATACGAATCATTAAATGTGCCTGTCAATGACCTAACATCACCCCATTAATGTTTTGGAATATGAGGATGAGGGTAGTTTCAGGCTCTGTTCTAGCAAGGCATGGATGGAGTTGTCTAGTCAAAAACATCCTCCACACCCAAAAAGAAAAGTTGTTGAGGCATGAGTGCCTTGAAAGTCAATATTAGATTTGGAGATGAATGAAGAAAGGGAGCATAGTAAAGCGTGGTATGTGGTGTGGATGATGAAATAACCTCTTAATTCCATACCATCAAACCAAACCTCACCTTCTTATTAATATATGTTATGCTTTACACTTTTTTCCCTTCCCCCTGTTTTAGATCTCGAATTTTGTGGACCCTCAGGTTCATAGGAAGTGTGTACTTGCAAATGAAAGATAAGCATGCCACCTTATTAAGTTAATAGGGATTTAACGGAATTGTTCTGTTAAGATTGGTCCAACCAGCCAGTAAAAGACAAAAAAGTAAAAAACGACAACCTCTTCCATTCGAATTCCCCTTTCATCGTCTTTCAGCATCAAACGGAATGGAAGTGCAGGATATGTAGGTAGACCGATGATCGGTGACCGGCGGTAAAATCATCATCATCTTTCTTCCCTTCCTGTCACAAACGGAATGGAAGTGCAGGATATGTAGGTAGAAAAAGAAAAATCAGAAAACAACGAAGAAGAAGGCCAAAATCAATCAGAACACTTGCTCTTGCATTGCCACCGACATATTAGCTGATTTCATGCATTGTGAGATCAATGTTTTCTGCTCTAGTATTCAGACTTTCAGGTAATCTTTTGCTACCAACTTCTGTGTGTCGAGATCAGATTGACTGTAATCCAAACTTCATGTAGTTGTGCTACAACCAATTGCTTCTTGCATTATTCAGTCCATAATTTCAAGTATTTAAATGCTCTTAGAAAATCTACATGTACTTGGCGAGGATTGGGGAATTCTTTAAAGCTACTAGAAATATATATTTCTATTCAAGGAATAAGAGAAAGCAAGAAATGACGAATAACTGATTTTTTTTACTGTCCATGGATGGATTTTCTCTCCTAATACCTCAAGTAGGAATTCAGCTTTATTCATGATATCCTTTTCTCCCCCTCAAATGTCAGAGCTCAGCCTACTTTAATGATCTTAATTTTGAAGGTTGGGCTTACTTTACTCCAACAACAACTGATAGTGGTTAATTCATTACCGTCTGATTAGACAAAGGGTGTTAGGGTTCTGAGACACAGCCTTAAGATTTTAGAGGATTGTTGTCAATAAAAATGAGAAAAAGAATAAGAAAAGAGGAACAAGAAGGTGGAGGAGAAAGAGAAAAAAAAAATTCATCGTCAGTCTCTTGTTGTCGATTGATGCCTCATGCTAAACATCGATTATTGTGGTGGCCGGTGGTCTAGCTACAGTATGTTGAGACTTGAGAGACAGTGCGAGGAGAGTTCGAATGAGAGAGGGAAGTATTATTGGGTTTTATTGTTTTTGTTTTTTGGTCTTTTAGTGGCTGATTCAACCAGTTAGATTATTATTAACTGAGCAGCCCCGTTAAATTTCTGTTAACTTATTAACACGACGTATTCATTTATCATTGGCAGGTGCACGCTTCCGGTGAATCGAAGGGTCCACGGGATTGGATTAGCGCTCCCTGCTTTAAGCGCTGTTTGATTTTGTTACATTAATGAGTATTGGAACGATGTGAATTGATAAGATTCTTGTATTCGTGACAAATGAAGTCCATAAAGAGGTAGTCTAATGGCTAAATGGTTAATGCTTTTGGTTTGGCGAGTGGTCTTGCCTTTTAAAATGCGCAGTTAACACCACTAACGCTTTTGTTTATTTAGATTTCAGAGAGAGAGAGAGAGCCTGGGGGAATCCCAAATCCCAATTACAGAAACAATACCCACCTAGGTAGCTGCTAGCGAGAGGGAGGTCGGAGGTGTCGACCTAAAGAGATGGAGGAGAGAAAAGGGTCCCACCCAAGCGGCCGTTGTCGGTTGGCCTCCCCTATGGGTAGCACTAGCACCGGAAGGGTCCGGACCTTTCCCTTTCATTGTCATTTTACCCCCTGCTTCATTCTTAAAATATCAAGTATACCACATGCCGAGGCAAGCTGGTAGCCAGTGGACAGTGATAGAAGCCACAACATAAAATCTCATTCTCATCCCCAGCCCCCAGGGAACATTGATCGAACCAAAGCAGAGGAGTGAGTAGTCTTAGTCTCGACTCATTACCCAATTTGCTAGGCAATTCGTTAGATCTAGAATTTGGCTTTCCTCCTCTCTAACAAACTGGTGGAAGTTGTTGAATTTCTTGTGCGTGATGATGTATCCTCTCAATTTATTTATTTTCCATCGCCCCCCTAACGACATATATACTCCCTCCTAAGACTGCAATTTGGGTCGAGTTGATCCGAATCCAATCCGAAAAAATTGAGTTGGGTTGGGACGGGTTGATATTCGGATTAGGTTTAAGGTTGAAATTCATAAATTTGGCTTTATTTTGGGTTAGATTAGGGTTGATCTTTTAATAATCCAACTCAACATGAACCCTCTATAGTACATGTCATATATAAATATATATTATATGTAATATATAATATACATTGATTTGTTTAGATGTATGACATTTATATATCCCCCACCATATAGTATCATATATTTCTTTTAAGATAATCACTTCACTTAATCCTAATCATAAAGACTAAAACCTTAATAAGATTATTTTATTTTTATCTTTTGAAAATTTTATTATTCATCTCCTCTTGTTTGTGGCCCAAGAAAGATCTATCATAAGTCATAATTCATAATAAACTATAATTATTTCTAACATTTGTTTTTCCAAATTATGTACTAAAAAAACAAAAAAAAGTCAACAAACAAATATTAACGAAACATAGGATGAATATATGTAGTGAAAATTGAGTTAAGATCTAAAATCGAGAAATTAATGAGGTTTTAAGGGATGGGAAGAAGGTTAGGATCGGGTCCGAACCCAACCCAACCCGAACTTGACTTCGGGTTGAGTTGAATTAGGTTAGGGTTTAAAGAATTTAGTTAGAATTAGGATTATGATTCGATTGACCAGGTTGAAGGTCAGGTTGGATTAGGATTAAGGTTGGGGTTTAAAACTTAGGATTAAGTTAGAATTAGCCTCAACCGGACCTAACCCGACCCGACTTGCAGCCCTACTCCCTCCCGTTTTTCTGTTGGTGATATCGACAGATTTACAAGCAAAGGTGCGACGAACGAAACTTGGCCAAAAGCAGCACAACCCCCGTCCCCGTGGCCGTGGGCCGTGGTGGGTGGGTTAGTTGTTGGAACTTGGAACTCCGCGCCGGCCCCAAAACGGAATTTTATCTCAGGTTTGTTAAGGTCGATTTAAGTCAGCCCTCTACAAGTCTAGACGCGAGACCGGCATCACTTAACGGTGGACTTATTGAGGCCCAATTTAAAGTCCATACATCAAATTTCGGATTTTGATTGCTCATTTGCTGCAATCGGCAAATTAATTTGAATTAATGCGTGGCAGCGTAAAATGAACATATCGTGCTTGCTTCCTTTTTTTTTTTTTTTTACGACCAAAAAGTCCCCGTCCTTGGTCAAAAGTACATTGTTTCTGAATTCTTGGTTTCATATTTAGCATGCTTAGTGGAGACACTGTTTCATTTCACGGCATGGGTGAGGAATGAGGATGATCGAGTATGACTTGAGTGGCCGGCCGTGAAAGAGCGGAGGATAAAATGGTGATTTCGATGAAGTTCAAAGGTAGTTTGGTTTGGCCATTTATTTTATTATGTACAAAAAAAAATCATTAAAATAAAGTTGACTCGTTGAGTTGGGTGGTTTAAAACTAAAAGCCTCCTTTGATTTGATAGTGATAACACACATCCCGTTTCCACCTTTGGTTTTGGTACATCTCCTTTTCTACGATTTTATCACCAACCAATTATTACCACTTTTTTTTTATATGTATAAAACTATAAATATTTATTCTTATTTCTCTTGATGCATAACATAAGAGAGCGAGAGGCGTATATGCTGCTTTTTCCAATGGCACTTGTCTAAAATAGTCCTGTGGGTGAACGATAAGAAATTGCAAGATCAATGAATTGAATTGATCACCAATGGGAGAGAAGAGATGAAGGGTGCACCTTGGCGCAGGGTAAGCACGTGCGGATTGCACGTTCTCCCACCCGTCCCCTTCTTTGCACGCGTAAGGGGACTTTGAAAGTTTTTAAACAACATCATTAGAACATTAAGAGCCGAAGACCAGACGAAAAAGGTGGCATTCAATCTTTCCGGTTGGTTTTCCGGCAAGTTATCGATACTTCTGTTTATGGGGAGAATCAAAATCATTAGTTTCAGGCCTTCACTTCTCTAATTTTTTTTTTCCTTTTTTAAAAACCAAGAAGAAACGATGGTGATGTTTGATGCGTCAATTGCTGCTATACAGCTCTGTTTTTTGCTTTGATCAAATGGGTGGGGAATTTTGGTTGTGATGAAGTATAGATGATTCTTCAGTTTGCACGTCCAAATCAAATGGGTTTCTGAGTTTGATTGAAATGACATCACTTCTGCTTTGATCTTTGAGTAATTCCGCGTCCGCGTCAAATGTTTAGACGTCGTAATTCACATATCCTGAGATCCACGATCAAAGCTGTTAGCATTCCTTTTCTTTTGTATTCCATCTCGTCCACTTGGGATAACTAAGCCGGGAGGATTCAATATAGGAAATGCTTCTCAAGGACGTTATTTGAAATAGCAATTAGGAGTACTGAAAGAGAAGCCTTGATGAAGTTCGCGATTCATGATTTCACGCCCATGTTAAGGAATTCCTGAAGAGGATATAAGTGGAGAAATGAAGTTTATGAAGCTGGGGTCTCGTCCGGATACCTTCTATACCGCTGAGGCTGTGAGGTAAGAGCGGAACAGGTTAATGTCACATTTTCCTCATAATAATTTCCAGAGCTACAAGAGTTAAGGCCTCTCCTCCGTCAGTGCAGGTCTGTCTCCACTGAAGTCTCTAGTGATCTCATAATTCAACTCAAAGGAAGCAGATATTTGCTTCACAAGGTAAAAATCTATGGACCCATTTCAATATTGCGACATAATTTAATGCCGAGGTTAGCTGAATGCTATACTTTGTGATTCGTCTTATTGTTTTAAGTACTTGTTACTTGTTACACAGTTTCCTCTGCTCTCCAAATGCTTGCGTTTACAGAGGCTCTGTTCTGAATCTCCCGAATCCTCCCAACACCAAATAATCAAACTTCCGGACTTCCCCGGTGGTTCCGAAACCTTTGAGATCTGTGCCAAGTTCTGCTATGGCATTACCATCACCCTGAGTGCCCATAACATTGTATCTGTTAGATGTGCTGCTGAATACCTAGAGATGACAGAGGACGTGGAGAAAGGAAACTTCATTTATAAGCTTGAATTCTTCTTCAATTCCTGCATCCTCCAAGGGTGGAAGGATTCAATCGTGGCATTGCAGAGCACGAAATCCTTCCCTTTGTGGTCCGAAGATCTTGGCATCACGAGCCGATGCATAGATGCCATTGCCTCGAAAGTCCTAAGTCATCCCTCCAAGGCGAATTTGTCAAACAGCTACTCCAGAGGGCGTAGAGATGAGAACCAGAGACACAAACCTTCACCAAAGGGATGGTGGGCTGAGGATATTGCACAACTGGGTATAGACCTCTACTGGAGAACTATAATAGCAATTAAATCCGGTGGAATGATACCCTCTAATCTCATAGGCGAGGCGTTGCAGATTTATGCATCTCGATGGCTACCTAGTATGTCCAAGGATGGTATTGCTGCCAATAAGCAACATGTACCGGATTCTGTTTCTGTGTCTGGAGAGATAACATCAAAGCACCGGTTGCTCTTGGAATCGATAGTGAGCTTACTTCCATCGGAGAGAGGTGCTGTTTCTTGCAGTTTTCTGCTCAAGCTCTTAAAGGCTGCAAACATACTTGGTGCTTCTTCTTCTTCAAAAATGGAATTAGCCAGAAGAGTGGGAATTCAGTTGGAAGAAGCCACTGTCAGTGATCTGTTGATACCATCACTATCACACACAAGCGATACAGTGTACGATGTCGATATAGTGATGTCCATATTGGAGCATTTCATGTTGCAAGGACAGAGTCCCCCAACAAGTCCTCCAAGAGCCAAAGAAGGTTTAGACAGGAGAAGATCACGATCAGCGGAGAATATTGATTTTGAGTTTCAGGAGAGCAGGAGGTCTTCTTCGGCATCACATAGCTCAAAGCTAAAGGTGGCAAAACTCGTCGACAGGTATCTTCAAGAGATTGCTCGAGATGTGAATTTGCCTCTGTCAAAGGTGATTCAACTTGCTGAGGCCATACCGGATTTTGCAAGGCCCGATCATGATGATCTCTACAGAGCGGTTGATATTTACCTCAAGGTAATTTGCATATTTTATGGTCTCCCAAGTTAATCTTGATTGACATAGAAGATTCAGATACATCCAAAGTAATCGTAATCCACTTTTTTAGGTGGGTTTCTGTTATTTTCAGGAACAACCAAACCTTTTGACCTTGAATCTTATTTTTAGTATTTGACTATTTGGGGGAGGGGTCCAGAAACTGAATTAGGCAGCCAACCAATTTAGCATTATACAGGTACTGAGTGGCTGTTGGGCATACCAGTGTAAGTGGAGTCCATCTATTTCATGGGTTCAGTCCCTGCTGTTATCAGATAAGTAAGTCCTGCAGTTGATTGAAACTATATAGTCAAACTTTTCCAGATAATAATTTTGTTGATAAAATGAAAACTGAAAGTTATGTGCCCACGGTGAACTTAGCTGTAGCCCTTGGTGAGTCCTAGTTTGATTGCCTTTGGCGAGTCCTATATGGTGATTAAACCTGCAGGCTGCAGTCCTTTGGATAGCAGAACATAAAAGGACAAAGAAAAAAAAATGAAGATTACATAAGGAGAAAAGTATATTTCTTCATCTTTTCATTCATCCAATCAGGTTAACTGTCTTTTCTTTGGAAGATTTCTTCATTGATGATTGAACTGTTGGACTGGACTACTGGGGTCTTGGGATATATTATTCAACTAACAGTGTACTTAACAATTAAAAGGCAATAACCCAATTTTTGTCACAGCTACCTTGGGGACTTGGGAGGGTGATACAGGCCTAACCTTTTTGGCATTTCTTTTTTTCACAGTGGCCATCTCTCAGATAATGTGACAATTAGAACTAATATACAAACTTGTAATGGGATTCCTTTGTTTGATCGTTCAGGCACACCCAGATCTTACTAAGAGTGAGCGTAAACAGCTTTGTCGAATTCTAGACTGCAAAAAACTATCAATGGAGGCATGTATGCATGCAGCACAAAATGAGCTACTCCCACTGAGGGTGGTGGTGCAAGTCCTTTTCTATGAACAAGTGCGAACCGCCTTGGCGGGTGGACAGTTGACTGAACTTCCTAGCAACATCAAGACACTTCTAGCTGTGCATGAAGATGACCCTGCACGGCATCCTCATTCACTAAGCATCACTGCCACTGGTCCAGAGGATGATGAGTGGAGTGTCTCTGGCCTCAAATCATCTAGGTCAAAGCTGTCAACTCTAAGAATGAAGCTGGCTGAAGAAGACAACAATGTGGATGACAATGTCATACACCAGGATGGAATTAGGAAGACTTCTAGGCTTAAAGCTTTCTGCTCCTTTCCTACTAGACCAAAGAAAATGTTCAATAAGTTTTGGTCTATGAACAGAAGTGCAAATGAAAAGCATTGATTTACTTTCTTTATTCCTAGGCTCCAAGAAGGTAATATGAAGAGGTCGACATATATTATCTCTTGTTACTTGCTTTCTTGCAGAATGCATGTATCTCGTAGAAGATCAGTTCTCATTTTGTGACATTGCCGTACTCTGTTCAGCTGTTCTAATAAACAGCTAGATGTTAGAATTGGGAGGAAAACTGCCTGACAAGATTTGTAAATCACCAAATGTGGAACCAAAATTGTTATTTCCCACTGTAAATTTGTAATGTCTGTAAGCTGCATCACCATATCTTTTGCTAATCATTGGTTTTTACTTACCGGGGCTGTATTTCTTATACGAAATTCAGTCATGGTCACCCTCTTCTATCTGATGGGCGGTGGTGAACACCCTCAAGTAGAAACAGCCACAGTGCCAAACATCACCTACTTCCGCGGTGGAAGGAATTTGCCTCCCAATACCCTGAAAATGACCAAACAAGTGCCCAACCTTGGAGGAATAAAGAAGACTCCCAGCCTACTCTTAGTCGGACCGGGCATTCGTATGAAACCTTTCCATTCTAGACCAACTGTTGATAGATCAAGACCACCTGCTCTCCACTATCAATATCAATACTGGGAAAGAAATTATTGCATGTATCATAGGGCTCAAACAGCCAAACCCATACACATGAAATAGCCATCTTCCTACTTGAATGTCAAAACAAATGTACTGGATGAGTTTCATGGTAACTTCTGTTTTGTACCATTGGCTTTTCAAATATAAGCGCTACCACCTCAGCACTGTATAGGCATTTTGAGTTTAATGGTTAATTTTCTGTTTAGTTTAGTTGAAGATGTTTTTAGTTAGAACACTCGTAATTCGTAAATAATTTTGCATGAAATCTGTGCTAGGGCCTAGGAGGTGTTTCATGAAAAGTCAATTTGGTATTTCCTGCTCTGTCTGGGAAGCAAAGTCTCAACACCCTGATTCATCATTCGTGTGGTGCTAAGATGCTGACATGGTTGAAAAACAAACATTTCTCATCAAACAGGATTCATGTTCAAGTAGTGGTGTTTGTGTTCCAATCATAATTGCTATTTATTTCTACTCAAAACATGGGAGGTTGAAACACCAATGTTACCAAACACAACCGGTCAGGACAAACAGTGGTGATGAGTGCCATCTGCTGTAAAATGCCTTTTCGCCTTCCTTCTGTCTGCCCCATGTAGGGATGGAAGTTGGGTATCCAAAGAATTTACTGGGCCTGGGCCTGGGCCTGGGATTTCGGATCGACTCCGTTCAAATTTTGACTTATTCTCAACGCGAACCCACCCAAGTTGAACCTCTATGCCTCAAGTCCCATTATCTACGATGAACCTTGCTCCAGGACCCAAAATTCATAGTTTCATACAACTAAAAAGCACGTGCTTCACAGCTGCAAAAGATGACGGGGCCACGTATATTGCTCAAACGGAATACCCTGGCCTTTTTTATGTTTTAACAGCAAGAGAAGAATGTTTCTTTGGACTGATTGAATCAAGTTGTTAGACAATCTATCCCTACTAAGACTGCATTTGACATTCCTTATTTTAAGGATTTATTTCTTTTTTGCAGTTAAAAATTCGGTATTCATAGGAGCACTGTACGTGTAGGATATGCAAATATGTTAAAGTGGAAACCATCTCTCCCTTTAAAGAGATACTTATTGGGTTCACAAATCATAAATCATGTAGGGTGCGCTCAACCTCACCCGATGTCCAACAGGCCCTCCAATGCATAGATTGCAGAGTTCGAATTCACTCCTTGGACGGGTTGGGCCCAGACCAGAAGCCCAGGTATGATACAGTGTAAATTCTTCAAATCTTGATGCTGGACTCTCACAGAATGATCAGACAGCCCCTAAAAAAGGAGCGAGATTAAACTTCTCTGCTCTATGTAGGATGTAATTCGTGAGTCGTGACTAGGCTGAAATATTTTTTATGGGCCCAGTCTCGCCGTGTGAGTGGGCTAATTTGCAACAAAGGTCGTGAGTTGGGCTTGAAAAGAACGTAGACAAGCAAGGAAATGGGAAAGGGAGGAAACTCTTCCCAACAAAATCCATGCTATATTCACTTTATCGCGCACTTTTGCCGTTGGGCCGTAGTGTGCCCTGAATGATATAACAGTCATAGCCCAAATATAAAGTTCAGAATGGTCATTAAGGCACAAGGGCAATGAGTTCACATCCCCCCCGTCTCGCCCCACATCCCAATACACGGCGGAGATGTGAACTCGCAAGGCAATGGAATGAGTCACCTTTTTCCCTGGGTCTTCAGTTTCTTAAGGTTTTGAATGATTCACAGGCTAAGCCACTAGGTTGAAGTTTGAACTATCAACCTCACTAGTCACTACCCAGCCAGCTTTTGTGTTAGACCAGTTAATTACGAAACCAACTGCCCAATGTCTGACGACGATTCTAGAATCTTAAAAGGGAACGAAACAATTTTCTACATGATTCTGCAATGGACCTCCGTCTTAAGCTAGCCACTTGGCCTATCCAAACAGTTTTAAACACATATTAAATGAGTAGAATGGACCACTTCATCAGAGTTATAAAACTAGAGAATGACCTCGTGTTAAGTAAGGGGCCATTATTCAGATAATTTTTTTTTTTTTTTTTAATTCATATACTTTAAATTTTGATCAATTTTGTTTGACACCTTTTTTTTTACATGAAATTTTGTGGAGGTAACTACACCATCAACTTTTTTTTTTTTTTGGTAGAAAGTGTAAGGAACAAGGATTTGAAGTTCATACTTTTGGATAGATAGACAAAAGAGTATAATTAACCACTTATAAGATGATCTTTGATCTTTGTTAAAAATATAAGATACCATTCGTGCAAGGGAGAAACCCTTTTATTTTAATTTCCTTCTTTTTACCCGTTTCACCTTCACCCCTCTTTCTCCTCAAATGGCTAAATGTGATTTCCCCCTTACTCATCTTGATCCTTACATGATTAAATGAATACATTTAAATCAACAACTGAAACTTATAAATTAAGGCATCTCCCATTGTATTTTACCAGAGCAAATCCGGCCAGGAACTTGTACAAACCAGGAAGATGATGTCGCAGTTGCCGGTTCCAAATGAGAAAAAAAAAAAAAAAAAACATTTATGCGAATCAATGGATACATCCGAGGTATCATTCACTTTTAAAAAACATTAAAAAAAAAATCTATGATACCCTGAATAACAGGTACACATATATGATGACGGAAAGGTAGGTGCTTTATAACAGTTGAATATTGTTGGAGGGTTATGTATATTGTATATACTAAGTGTAACAATAATAACAATAATCAAATCAAATCAAATCAATAAATAATCCGCAAAAAAATAATTAAGAGAAAATAAAAAAGATGGTATCAGTAACAAGTACATGACTGTATGAAACTCCTCATTCTTCGTTCTCCCATCGAATAGGCAGCCACTGAGAGTAAAAATAAAAAATAAAAAATAAAAAATGGCGAAAAGACAGATAGTAGATAACGTCTAAAGGAGCAAGAGGAGGACGACCCCAAAAGGCAAAATCAAATCAAAGCAGATCAGTTTACCATGGATTAAAAAAGATTTCCCGGCTCCCTTTTGGGGGCTTCTCTCTGAAATCCCCTTGGATTTTGAACCCAAAAGGATCTGCTCTCCCTACCTTCTTCCCCATGCAAAGCTCGAAAAAGACAGCTTCTCAAAAATGGTAATTCTAACAGGCTCGGCTACAAGGAAGGTCAACTTTAATAATAAATATATACATCATAATTAAATCGTCCTACGTACCGCGCGCTAGGAAAGGAGAGATTTATGACATTATAAACAAAAGCCGAGATTTATATATAAACATATCAAAATGCAAGGTAGAAACATATTTAGGATGATTAAGGCCAGAAGGTACATCATACAGTTTTGTGATCACTTGCAATGAAGAGAAATTAAGGTCATTAATTCTTTCTAGACCATTTGCCACCATAACTACTACATCAGGGAAAGAGTGAGAAGCTTTCAGCATTACCATCCAAAAACATAAAAAGAGAAAAAGGACTATAGTTCATAGAAATTATAACCCAACACAAGAAAGTGAGAAACCATCTTAAGATGACTGGATTACAATGAAACAAGGAAGTCAATTCATTAGAAAGAGGGAGAGAGAGCCCAACTCCAATCCTTCTGCACTCAAGAGTTCTGCTGCAACTTAGATGCAAAAATATCAAGAAGCTCTGGGTGATGTATAATATCTTCCAACATTCCTTCAGTCATCACGGGAAAGCTTTTAGGAAGCTCATTGTACAACGGCATTGGCTCCGAAAGCTGACCATCCCGACGAACCTCAAACTGCTGAGAGTTTCCTTGATAATCCAAATATAGACCAATATGTTCAGTTTCAATTTCCTTTTTAACGGTCTCAACCAACGACGGGTCCAGGGCCATTTCAGAGTCAGGTGCTACAAACAGAGGATCTCGAGTACAATTGGAATCCTTCGACGAGGAAACCGACTTGGTGCAGCTAGTTTTAGGGAAAAACCCACTGATAATTTCCTGTAATAAACCAGAACCGGATGACTCCGAGGGAAAGAACTTCATATCATCGGTTGGGTCGGTGATGTCAATCGCCGGCATGCAGGCCTGACGATCTTCAACGGCCGGTAGATTGAGAGAAGAACCCTTGAAAGACACTTCACCCGACAGATTGCTGACATCACTAGAGAAAGAAGGATTGGACACAGAAGAAATGAAAGAACAAGGAACAGAAGTAGAGCTACCATAGAAGGGGGCGGGATCAAGAAACTGAGGGGGGTTGGAGAAAGAACTTGACGGCGAAGAACCAAGGAAGTCGCGAAGGATATGCATGTTAAGAGAAGAGGAAGAGCTTTTGTGTGTTGTGGAACCAGGAAAATCAATACCTCGAGTATTTGACCAAGTAGACCAATCAGAAGCTGCCACGTTTCGGTGCGAGCTTAGGTCCCTCAGCGACGGGGCCGATGGCCTAGCAATATCGAAGGGAGGGAGTAGATGATCGGTGGAAGGGTGAGAGGGCGAAGTAGGGTACTGAAAGTTGGTTCGAGCCTTAAGACCACGCATGGCACGAGCAGCGCAATCGTAGGCGCACGCAGCCTCCTCGGCCGTGTCGAAAGTACCCAGCCAACGCCTTTCTTTAGACTGTGGGTCTCTAATCTCAGCAGCATATCGACCCCAGGGGCGCCTACGGACCCCCCGGTATCTCATTGTTCCACCACCGCTTCCACCGTCCTTCAAGTTTCTCTTGTTGCATTTCTTGTGGAGATCACTACTGAGGTCGTTGGTGTCAGAATCCGGTGAATGGGCTACACCGTTTAGACGCCTCATTGCTTCTTCCATGGTTCTCGCAGAGAAAGGCGAGCTGTGGAGAGAGAGAGAGGGGGAAGGGGCGCAGAGAAAAAAGATAAGGAGCTTTTAGTCAGGTCAGGAGACTCGGGACTGATAACTTGGCACCTGGGGACGCAGTGGTGGGGGGTATATTTATAGAGAGATTGAGAAAAGAGGAATGTGAAGTGACTGATTTGTTCGTGAAAGACAAAATTCGAAAGAAATTCGATTTCCAACGACTGAGATCTGTAGTGGGCGAACCGTCCTTGTTTTGCAGGGTTGTGATTTTTCGTTTTCTGTTTTTTTTTTCCGATAGATAAATGAAAAATCGCAATTGCATGCATGGAGAGTGATGCTAATATATAATTTTCGTTGTCGTCCCATACTATACTACCACGGTACTACTCTAGAGGTAGGTATCTTTTTAATTTGATCTAATTTTTTGATATACATCTGGGTTTGCCAGCTAAGAGCAATATTGGTCAGTAATTGCACTCAGGCTCAGCAATTTCCGAGATTAAAATCGAGAGAGCGAAAAGAGGAGGATTGTTGGCTGCCTACTGGTCGAGTTTGATTGATGTGATTGAAATTTTAAAGGAAATTTGAAGTGATTTTCGATCTGTTTTTCTTGTAGCTAGTTAATGTTGAAGCATTCCCATTGGGGAGTCTGCATCCAGTCATCCACCCATCTCCATCCAACATGTAATAAAAGAGTGGGATTTTCGAGCAGGGAGAGGAACTATTCTTCTTTCATCTTTGGGAGTTGAAGAAGTGGTCTGCGCGATTATCATTCTGAATGATTACACTGGCGGCGCTCAGAACTTGTTCCTCCCTCTTTGGTTTATTTCTTTTTTTTTTTCTGCTTTTATCTTTATTTTTCTCACCCGTTTTGGTTATTTTATTTTATTTTACAAAAATTTTGGTATTGGGCTGTTGGGTTTGGAAACCAAGAATTTGTATTCGTTCACATGGAGTTGTCTGATGTAGGTTTACCTAGCTTCTTTAAGGAAGGGATATTAGGGTTGATAGGGGGAGATAGATGCATAGAGACCGAAAAGAAAAAAAAAAAAGGCAGAGAGAAAAGTCTACTGTTCCTATAACCGACAGCAGCTCCTGTGCAAAACACCATCAGCTAGCTCCTCCTTAACTGTCTTCTTTATGCTTCTTTGCTCCATTCTTCCTTGTGTTTTAAGTCACCAGCAACCAGCAGCTACTAGCAATCGCTCCTCTGACTCTCTCTCTCTCCCGCCTGAGTCCTGACATGCGAGGTTGAAGGGATTGAAATCAGAGGAAGAGCCATAAAACTATTAACATGCATGAATGTTGATAGTCAACCTTGGCAAACACTGAACGAAGCATCGATCAGAAAATCCCATGAAGTAATTAACTTCGCCGACGAGGCCTGAAGATGATAAATTGTGATGCCGTCGTCACCTTAATTTCAATGTTCATCACACATGCATGCATACAAGTTACAGAAAGGATCCCATCACTCTCTTTGATCAGGTTCATGCATGATGATGTTCGAACTCAAACTCATTGAAGTAGTAGTACTACTTGTTACGAAAAAATAATAATTAAAAAAAGGAAATATTAATAAATGGCGGTGGGAGGGTTGGGAAGCGCAAAGACGTCAAAGCAGGGAAAGGGAGAAGAGTAACTAAGATTTTAGACAGCAGAAGATCCTGTCAGAACAAACAAAATCAATACGGAACCAGCTTTTCGCACTTGTGATGGCGAGCTTTTGTCCCTTTGGATACTGAGAAGGGAATAAAAATAGGAAAAAATATATATTTTTGATAAATGAAAAACAATATTTGATTTAAATTAATTTAGTCTTCATTTTAAAATTAAGCTGTTTAAATTTAATTATTATTATTATTATTGGTATGAAATAATTAATGTAAGATTTTTAATTTTAAATATACGAAGGAAATGGAATGTCTGAAAATGCCTATCATGTCTCATCTATCCGTATTTCAGTGGTCAGAAATAGTACCACTACAATAGGAAGATTAAAAAAAATATTTATTTAAAGCTAACCTAAAAGAATAAAGAATGTGAGTTCCAGGGTCTTGGTAGTACATGTGGTCATAAAGAAAAAGGTCACACGTCCACAATGCAAAGGGTGAAAGGTTCTGGTCTGATCAGTGATCACTCTTTCCTTCGTCGAGACACAGCATGCGAAAAATCGTATTTGTCACGTCGTGTTCGCCAATTTAAACGATTTTCTGGGTTGCCGTTTTATGAAATCTCAGGAGTCCCAGATTTAACTTCAAAAAAACATATGAATTCACTTCATAAGACGACCTTTGTTTTTTATTTGGAGATGTTTTAGGTTCCATCATATCTTTGGAAACAGAAGTTTTTTTTAACATCTACTACTTGATAAATCAAAATCAACCACGTTGGCATACATGCCCTTAACAATGTCCATTTTCTTAAAATCAACGATACAAGGTTCGCATTCAATGGGGATTGTCCTTGAAAGTTGAAACCAATGTTTTAAAAATCGGTTTCGAGGTCAATGGTTCAACCGTCTAATTTGGTTTAAATTAGATGGGGTGTATTATGATTTAAAAAATTAAAATAAAAATCATTCAAAATTTTTGTCTGGCCGAACAGGTCAAAAATCAGCGATGATTCAATAATCATAGGGTAGCTTAAATATATCAATATATATTTAGTCATTCAAAATGGTTCATACCAAACATCCCATCCAGGAATGCACTGTCAGCTCTATGATCTCTAGTCTACAAGGCCATGTTTGTATTTCCATATTCAGCGGAGAATAAGTCGATCAATCAATAAATTAACAACAATTTCTATCTTCATTTGGTGCTATATTGGGTCCTATGATAATTCAGGATACATAAGAGTATCAATTACTTGGACAACTGATACCTTCTCCTGAGATGGGTATACAATTTATCCACCTGTTTCTGTTTCTTGAAGATGATAAGCACCATCTTCCCCTCATCACTTCTCTCGTTACCCGAACAACCGGTAATATATAAGAATATTGGAAACTTGCTTTACCAGGAAAACATATTTTCCCAAGTAATTAAAAACAAATAAGGCCTAAAAGGCATCCTAGCCGTTTCCACAAACCAATTAAGGAAATGTAATACAACACAATACAATATTTTAGGGGCTATTTATTAGTTTGCAATTGGAATTCTAAGTCTCTTGAAATTTGAAATTCAAATAATTTATTTATTGGATTTAATTAGAACGGGATTTCATTTTCATTTCATTTCCTAAAAAAAAGAATAGCCAATTATATTCAATCAAATAACGACGGAGGAATGTCATCCCACCAACAATGAACAATGAAAATGAAATTCTAATTCCGCCGAATCAAAACGGTTGGAGCCGCTTCCAGCTATAAACACATCGAACGTGCCTTTTGCATAATATCTGTTTTCGAAATCCCCTTTTTGTCTCGTCAGGACTTTGGTAGACGAATCAAGGAGAGACTGGAAAAAAACGTGGCAGTATGGGAGTGGGATAGCTTGATTTGATGGACAATTTTGCAGAAGATGGTCTGTGACACATTATCATTATTATAGGTCTAAGTCAAACTGCGCAAATGAAATACAAATTACAAAGGTTTTTCCAATCAGATATCTCTCTTCGTAAAGTTGGATCATATCGTGCAGTACTGTGTTCTTTTCGGATCCATCAGACCCTAACATCCATTTTGGATTTTCTTAAATTAGCTGTCATGTAGTTGGGATATTATTGTCATTTTACCTTCTTCTTATATTGTTGTTGTTGATATTTCTAAAACAAATTCTTAAAAAGTTGAAATTAGCCATTGGTTGAGCGCAGCCTACTGCGGGCCTGATCGTGTCGCCGGCAGGACCGAGTCAGCCTATGGGCCATGAGTAATATGGCACGATAATGAGAGTCATATCAGTCCCACCCACCGACTTGGGATTATTAATAATACGGCCTGATTTATATCTCTAAATTTCCCATATTTCAAATTAAACCTAACACAGATTCTATGCTCTCTTAAAGGCGGGGGGCCAGTAAGTAGTTGTTTATTACTGTTCTCTAGCCAATCGTGGGGAGTGAAGACCGAAGAGCTAGCTGAATTACTATAGGCCTTTTTATCAGTACCCATGCTACGGCTGTGTTTAGAAGTGATGTAAAATGTTATCCATGTAAAAATTTACGTTGATTTGGTTTTGTTGGTGTTTGGATGGAGTATAAATCAAGATCGATATAAAATATTTCTCCTATTTAGTTTTATCGGTTTTTAGATGTAAACTAAAATTTTATATCAATAAAATCGATATAAAAATTTAATGCTTTTTTCTATGCTTTTCAAAGTTCAACGATAACTTATTTACAATTCGATATAAAACCTCATCCATGTACTTTTACATCGATGACATTTTAAATTGCTTCCAAACACATCCTACCGGATAAAGTAATCAAATAATAAATTAATAAAATATTTCAGGACATAATAACCGATTCAGCTTTGTTATAACTAAATTACTCATTAAACAAGTCATTCAGTTTAACATCAAAATCAAAAGTTCGTTATTATAAACTTTTCGTTTTATTTACTTGACAAAGTTTGGAAACATCTTATAACTCAAATTGTATCCAGTTCTATTGTCCCAGTATACTCGGGTCCCCATATATGATTCATACATCTATCGAACCCTTCCTCAGAATGTAAACAGAAAATGCAGATGTTAGGGTTGGGTGTGACACCAACTCCACAAACTTGGGGAGATTTGTGCAATTCACTGGATGACACATGCACAGAAATGACTTTTACATACAGAGAGAAGATGAGGAAGGTTTAAATAGTGCTTCAAATACTTTCTTTAAGTCCCATTTGTTTTCCGTTCAAATTTCATTTGCACTGCTTTGTATGTATGACAGTACGAAAATACAAATAGCTCAAGTGTAAATTGTGTTTTAGGGTTTGATTTAATTTTAGAGAAAAATTTTGAATAGTGCCCTATACTTTGGGTTTAGTGTCATTTTGGCCCTCGAACTTTAAAATGCAACAATTCAACACCCAAACTTTCAAAACATGCCAATTTAGTACTTGTTGTTA